ACGCCCCTTCTCGGGCGCGAAGCGACCAGGCGAGGGAGCCAAGCAACCGAGCGGGGGGAGGGTGTTGGAGGGGGTGTTCACTGTTCACGCTCCCGCACGATGGAGATTTTGCAATTATTACACTAAAATAGAGCGACCTGAGGTGAAATTCTTGCAAATTTAAAAAAAAAAATTTTTTTGGCTTGGGGCCGGGGGGGGTTCGTTCGAACCCCCCGAACCCCCCCTGGCTACGGGCCTGCTATAGTATAGCCTTTCGCTCCGTCGCAGGAGGAAGGAGCGAAGAGCTATAGGTACGTACTCGTACTCGTTGACGCTAGACTGAGAAAAAAGTTTTCTGGTGTATTTTTTTGAAAAACACATTTTACTTATTAAGATAAAATATAATATCACTATAATTGCAATTCTTTGCGTACATGTATTTTCAAATGTAAACAAGTACTAACACATACGTGTCGTTTAATAACAAAGGTTTGTTTACTTTTTGCTCAGTCTAGCGTCAACGAGTACGTATAGCTCTAGTACTAGTCTATAGCCCTTTTAGCTCCTTTCTCCTGCGACGGAGCCGCCCGCCCGTACGCACGCACGTATGAGCCAACGCTCCTAAGACACACTCGCATGGCAAATCAATCTTCATTGCTTCAGCAAATAAGCAGGCATGCAGTACAATGGCATACGGAATCGATGTGGCACGCAACAGAAGCAGTAGCGGCGGCAGCAGCTTCTATATACGCAGTGGCTTCAGCCATAGCGCAGGACACGAGGAGAAAAACAACGAGGCACAGTAGCGAGCGTGACCTTTACAGCTCCTGCAATAGCTGGCAAGTCAGGCCAACGGCGAAACCCTCCCAGCTAGATTGATGAGTCGTCACAAGACAAATCGCACGCAACGACTGATTCTACTAACGGGAATAACACACGGACTGATTGACGGACATACATACAGGCAGACAGATAAACAACCAGCCAGCCAGACAGACAGACAGACAGACAGACAGACAGACAGACAAACAATCAGATCGACAAGTCATTCACAAGCGGCGACTACTCGTACTGCGCACATTCCCCGTTCCCCTTAGAATCGTGTTGAATCGAGTTCGAACTGTCGTCGCTCGGTCGGTGAGACGGAGGTCATTGCTGAATGCGTGCGCGTCAGAATGTGTGGGAGGCAGAGTTAACGATAACGGCAACGCTGAGCGCTTATCTTCCTTTCTTAACGACGCGTAACTAACGGACAGACTAGGGGAGCGAGCTGAGAGATTCTGCAACGCGTTGTTTCGATGCGGGCGCAGAGTTAGCACGCGAGAAGAAGAGAGAGAGAGAGAGAGAGAGAGAGAGAGAGAGAGAGAGAGAGAGCGATAAGAGAAGCCTGCAATCTCGTCTCCTCTCTATATTCTAGCCCATGTGCTAATCACACATGCGGAATGTATGACGTGATGCATGATGTACTAATCGCGCACGCGCACGCAGTCTAGCGCTCACATACATGCACACACGCATGCAGGCAAACACGCATGCACGCACGCACGCACGCACGCACGCACGCACGCACGCACGCACGCGGGAGCGCACGCACGCTGCGAGCACATTACGGTGCATTACTTGATCACTAGATTGTAAGGACGAGCGACGTCTCAGCATGCATTAAGTGGACGCAGCTCTCTATCACATCTCTATCTAACATCTCTAGGCGCGATCCACCCCACGCACACACATCACGACCAGTCTGAACAAAACCGATGCCTGAGATAATAGAATGAATCCCTCAGGGCTTTACACGCATCTTCCGCGCGTTCAGGACATCGATGACGTCATGATGCCGGTCACGTTGCTTCTTAATAACGTTGCAATCAGACGAGCCAATCATGAGAAGCAGCAGGAACAGCAGTAAAAACAACTAACAAAATAAAAAATAAAAAATAAAATAAAATAACAATAACAATAACAACAGCGGCAACAGCAACAGCAACAGTAACAACAGCAGCAGCAGGAATAACAACAATAACAACGACGACGGCGACGACGACAGCGCCGACGACGATGAAGACGACAACAACGACAACAACATCAGTAACGACGACGACGACAACAACAACAGCAACAGAAGCAACAACAATAAAAACAGCAGCATCAACAACAACGACAGCGACAACAAGAACAGTCGCAACAGCAATGACAACAGCATCAGCATCATCATAAGCAGCAGCATCAGCAGCAGCAGCAACAGCAGCAACAGCAGCAACAAGATCACTTACCCATGTCTCGTGCGCTCTGTCTGCATCGACAAAGATCAGGTGCGTGGTGGTGATGTATAAGGTGCCTGCCGAGGGCTTTCGAGCTCCTAGTCTATCCACGAGCTTTACATTCTCTACCTAATAGAAACAGCAAGACGTGTGAAAAATCGCAAAGTGAATGGGATGCGAACTGTTAGATACAAACAGCAATCAGAGAAATGTGACTAACCTCGGGAAATACTAGAGAACTGATGTGTTATGCTTGTCATGTCGAGCGCACATACGGTGTTTGTTAGAAGATAGAAATACACCCTAACAGCATCATCTCTGTGTCTAACCAGAGATAATGATGTTAGAATTATACCATTAACTGGAGAGATTATTGTTAAAAATCACACGCTTGGTGTGTAATAGGATTCAGACATATACTTCCTCGCTATTATGTGTGTGCTGTGCTAACATCGGGCATTCGACATTAACCTGGGAAGAATGGTGCTAGAAATCACAGACACGGAAATCGGTGTTGCGCATGCGTTGCGACGGTAACCCTGCTTCAGCTTTATGCTCAACATTAAAGACACAGAAATAGCCTTCTGTGAAGAAACCCCCATAGTTAGCGTTTTCTCTCGTTAGATGTCACTAAGAACACTTCTAAGGTTGGGAGGGGTTTGGAAGCTGGCCCCCAACCCCCTTCGCCCCATTAGCTATTAGTGCATCACGTGATAAATCGTTGAAATTCCATTGGATAACGCAGCAGGCACTATGAAGCAATAGTGCCCGCTCAGCATTGTTATTATAACACATTGTGTTCACGTCACGAATCTCTTGCGTCTGGGCGCCACGCAAGAGTTTCGAACGGCG